AGGAAAGGGAATGCAAACACTTTTGTTTTGACAACTTGGCCTGATTCTCCATGAGAATGCTGTTGGCTTTTTAGCTTTGTTATGCATGGGACAACAGAAACCTGCAGGGGGAATTTGTTTATGGTAAAATGAGGTTCAGAGGCTGTTGCCATTTCTGGCCAAGTCAGAACTGGCAGAGTGTGAACATCACTGGCAAAAGACACACAGGATCTCACACACTTTAGGTTATTCAGCCCCTCTATCAAAGAGGAGATTAGAAATAGTGCAGGAAGAATTTTAGCCAAAGCCCTTGAGAGCTTCCTTGTCTTATTTTCTCTTGAAATGATTTATGAGAATGTTAGACAAATAGAGGAGTTCATCTCCACCTCACCTCCTCACACATACAGTATTTTTTTCTTATATTTTTCACTGAGGTAGTCCTGAAACGGATTACTCTCAGTGACTTCAGGAAGATCCACAAACCAATTTCTCAGTGGTGATGGCACTGCTTATTATTTAGCTGATTTTCTTATCTGCAGAAGTAACACTACTTATAATTCTTAATATAAAAATAGCGCCAAGACAAGGTTTTTAATTCATCTAGGAAAGTACCCAGACTAAACTAGGAAAAAGTAACAAAAATTGACAGAAAAGCAGGATACATGGAAGATTATGCACTTTCTGTAACAATTACATGGAATGCTATCTTGGATTGCTGCTAGAAATAGCTGGTTATCTCCTTTTCTTATTTATTTCCTGCCTTTATATATGTAATAAGATACAGAATATGCAGAAGTAGATGATCCCTAAAAGAACAGAAGGATCTGTATAGCATTTGTCTTGGGCATTAATGGGGAGAGTGTTAGCAAAGCACAATGTGCTCTTGATAATTTATCCTTACACTTTCCCCAAAACCAGCCAGACTGCTTTCCATTTAGTGAGTTTGCATAGGCAGTCCCACAAGATCATTAGTCTATTACTCTAGCCAACTGTCTAAACTCCAAGTGAAAGCAATCAGAACAAAATTTGGCCTCAATTGAATGAATTCATTATCAAAGTATTAATCCCATGAATAATGGGTCGTGGGCTCAGGATTCAGATTGTTTTATTGATCCTCAACAGTTCAGATCTCACAGACATACAGATGTAAGAAAACACTTGACTCTATATTCAAGGCACTTAGCTGCAGTCCCAAAAGAGTGTAGATTTTTTTTTTTCTGGAACTCACGAGTTCAAATACTGACAAATCTTTCATCACTGGCATGAAGAGAGCTCTTTATAACACAGAATGCTGGCGAAAAACAGGATTCTTTAGAATAATGAAGAAGTGAATTTGGGTCTTTGGGGAACATAATCAGAGTGTATTTATGACAGAAATTTTCTCACTTTGACTTCTACAAAATATTCATTTCAAAACACTGGTATAAGCCATGTACTAGTATTTTATGCTTACAGATCTAGCTACTTATAGGGCTGTGATATGGAAAATTCCAATTTGAAGCCAATCCAGACAGAAAAGTAGACTCCATTTCCAAAGTAACAAGCAAAAAGCATAGGTAGAAGCATGGTTATAAAGTGGTAGAGTGCCAGACAAGCAAGTTCCAGTTCCTGAGTACAAGAAACACTGGTAGATACCACCACCAGCAGCATTATTACTACTACTATCATCATCATCCTCAATACCACTGAAAGTGGTTATGATTGTAGAGTCAAATGGGTTATATCACAAACTATATGAGAAAGATTAAAAAACATAAGTGTTGATTGATCTCAATATGGCAGCCACAAGCAGTAACAACATGTTTACCATGCACTCTGTTTATGGGAATTGGTAACATTTAATGAGATAATTATTTATGTGCAAGAAGATTTGCTCTAGTAATGTTGACAACTCATATGTCTTGAGAAGCTGAAAGAAAGAAATAACAAGTATCTTTCTAGAAAATTATGAAAGACCTAGTTTCACTAGTTCTTCTTATGGGTTGTAGCAAAGACAGTGAGCATACATCAATTGAATCGCCATGTAATACAAAGACAGATTAATTTACTGATACCAGGAGGTATGAGTTGCATCTTTGAAGTCATCTGGACAAATATCTGTCAACCAGTGATGGGAAAACACAATGTGGTACAGCCTTAAAATGAGATGTTATGCAATTATGGAAAAGAATGAAGTACTGAAATGTGTTTCAACATGGATAGAGCATGAGAGCATTGTATTACAAGAAAGAACTGAGCCAATAACACCCAGACATTGCATATATTGTCTATTCCATTTATGTGAAATTACTAGAAGAGGCTATAGAGAAAATGTTGTGTAGGCCTGGGGAATAGAAGAAAAGATGAAAAGTAGTCTTCCAGGATAAAGAAACTTCTCTTTAGAGTGATGCAAAAATTCTAGAATTAGTAGCAATGCTGCATAACCCTTTGAATATAGTAAAATCCACAGAATACCCTTTCTGTATGTACCAGTATTGGGGCTTTAACTCAGAGACTCAGGCTCTCATTTTGCTTTTTTGCTCAAGACTGGCGCTGTACCACTTGAGCAATACTTTTGCTTCCACAGAATACACTTTGAAAGAGTGACCTCTATATTCTGTGACTTATATCTCAATGAAATCATCATAAAAATGGTGGAAGTTATCTTGTAATTTTACTTTTTAAAACAATGTCTTTATATGTCTTGCTTTTTAAAAGAATATTATTACAAAAACTTGACATCTTAAAAAGTTCTTTGTTTAAGAATACATTAGTTATACAAGTGAGATTTCATTATGACATCTGCATACATGATTAGAATGTATCCCAATCAAACTCCCTTTCTCTATCAGTCTTGCTTAGCCTTCTCTTGATTCTAAAATGATTTCAGCATGTTTCAGCTCATGTTTTATTTTTTATAGATGCAAATAAATCATTTTGGCCATATTCACCTTCATTTACCTTCTTTATTAGCCCTCTCCCCTCCCCTTTATGCTCATCAGAAAGCTGGTTTTCTTTCCTGTCATTCATTTTGTATTAGTATGTTTGTGTGTGTATGTGTGTGTGTGTGCACGCATGTGCATGCACACCTAAGCACACATACATACAAGTGTGCAGTGATATTTGGAATTGACCTCCAGGCTTTGTGTTCTCACTTGGCATTTTTCCTGACAACTAGCTTTCTACCAATTGAGCCATGCCTTCAGTTCTAGCTTTTTTATTGGTTAAATAAAGATATGACTTTTGAGGTTTTGATTACTTGGCCTGCTCCAATCCTTAATTCTCTCAGCTTCTTGAGTATCTAAAACTATAGGCATTCATGAGCCACCTACTGGCACCCAGAATAATTCATTGCTTCTCAGTGTGTGTCAAGAGGTTTCACCCTGCTATTTTAGATGTGCATATGTTGTATTTTAATCAGAATAGCCATCTCTACTGCTTTCTTTCCCCCCCACATCAATCACTACTGATCAACAACTTTCTTTTAGATTCCTTATGCCATCTTCATACAGTTATATTTCTAAATTACTCTCCCTTCATCCTTTATGTTTTTAACCTCTCCCTTCCCTTAATCATCCTAAACAGTTCTATGATTAGAATAAATTCTACATGTATATATGTAGGTATACACATGTTGCAGTATGCATAAACTTCTACATTGTGTAGATTACAGTATACTAATTTTTGTTTTCTTTTTGAGACAGGGTCATTGTACAGATAAATAATCTCTAAATTGGTCACCAATTTCATAATGGAACTTTTCTCTTGATAGAAATACAAGTGAGAAAGACAAGGAGAAGTCATTCTTAGAGGAAGAGGAAGTAGAGAACAGTAACCTATGGCTATCTTTGTATTGGTTCTTCTGTATAACAGTTAATTGTATTCTCCTTCTGTGTCTCTCTGTTTTTGTCATTCTGTCTCTTTCTCTCGCTTTCCATACTGGGAATTGAATCCAAAGTCTTTATCATGTTAGGTAAGTACTTTATAAAAACAGAGAAAGGGTCAGTGGGTGCTGGTAGTTATGCCTATGATTCTAACAAGTCAAGAGGCCACTATATAGAGGATTAGCATTCAGAGCCAGTAAAGTCTGGCAGTAAAGTCTCAGAGACTCCATCTCCAATTAATGAGCAAAAAATGGTAGATTGAAGGCATGCTTCAAGTGATATAATATCAACCAAATGCAAGCAGCTCAAGACCCTTAGTTCAAACCTCAAAAAAGGCACAAAAATTTAAAAAAAGAGAAAATGTAAGTAAACTATGGTATATTTGTAAGTGGTGCATAGTACAGCAATAAATAGATGTTTCAAAATGAAAAATCTTGGAAACATAATGTCTGGCTAACCATTTACAAATGTATGTTCATAGTGTGTTATGAATTATATAACTTAAATATCACAAAATAATTCAAACCTAATAAATTTGTTTACATGTATTGAAGTATGTAGGAAGCCTGACAAAGCTACAATTTCAAGACAGCTCTTAGTTTGGGGGTAGGATAAAGAGGAATTGTATTAGAGGAGAAAAAAGAGGAGAGAGTAGCAATAAAGTGCCTTATTTAAATTATAATGTTTTAATTATTAAACTTGATATAGTCCATAATTCAAAAATGGTTAAAGAAGCATGACATGGTGATGTGCAGATCTTATATTCTCGTGGGACATGGTAGCTGCTAAGAGAAGGTCAAAAATCACCATCCACAAATACCAAAGTTCTGATGGCATTGCTCATAGTCACGGGTAGGAGTCAATGAAAGTGGAAGCACACCAGTGAGGTCTCCCTTCTGTGCAGTCATCTGAGTACACTAATAGGAACCCTGAATGAATTCTAGAATAGGAGGAGAAGATGTTACCTATAACCACCCTCAGCAACCAAGGCCACAAAACTCTCCATTTTTATGAATGCTGACATTATAACAGAGATATTCTAGTATCCTGTACACCTTTTTCATTTTCATAGCTACCATCAATGCTTCTAATCTATGTCTGTTACTCCCTGGGACTTCAAGAAAGGACAATTGTTTACGAGGCAGAAGAGCCACTTACGTATTCAGAAAGGACCTTCACTTTGCCTATGGGCACATCAGGTGCAACATAACTAAAATAATACTGCCCTTCAGGGAGAAACCGACCAAGATTTTCCATGCTTGCTCATTGTACCTGGCTCCAGCCACACAGAGAAACAAAGGTGACCTTGTATCTGATGTGAAAGTTGGATTATGGCAACTCTCTAGGCAATAGGGAGGTTTAGAGGTCAAGCTTTGCGTAATATGTCCAACTGCCCACCACAAAAACTACCGGGGAAATGAGGATATTGTTAAATCTCAGAAAGATAATATTCCTAAACTGAGCAAATGAGAAGGCAGCATGTGACTATTTCTTTCTGTTGCTAACATGCGATTTACCCTTGGTCTCTCTTAAAGCCTCAAGAACCCATTATTTTCACTCCATCAATCTTACATTAGAATTTTGCCGTTGGAGTTGTCTTTACTCCCAGGGAAGGTCCAAGGGTTACCACATATATCCTTTTAGTCTTTCTCCAAATAGGTTTCTTATAAAGAAATATGCTTCTAGATTAGGAAAAATTAAAAGACAAACAACTAAATGACAGATACTGCACCTAGCTCCAATATTAATAAGTGAATGTCCTGTTCTGCTAATCAGTTTTGTCTTAAATATACAAGCATAGTGTGCTCTATTCTCCTCTCTTCTAGGGTTAAATAGACCATGGAAGGTAAATGTCAGGTTATTTGAGAATTCTCTTTTGATGGACATTTATGTTGTTTCTAATTATTTGCTATTATAAATAAAGCCATGATGAACCTTGTTGCACATTTTCATTCTCAATCTTGACAAAGTTATGACAATTCTGATCCCATTGAACCTAACGAAGATGTGGCAGGAAAAGCTGAAGCTCTGCTCAGTGAACCTCACAGAAATGTGACGTGTCCTGGGGCTTGATGAGAAAGGACTAGTTTATTATGACTAGAAATCAGTGAGGCACAAATCATAGTTCTAGAATCTGGAAGGGATCAGCTACTTTAGAGGAGTACAGAAGATCCATCAGGATTCTGAACATTCATGGTCTGAATGTCAAAGGCTGCTAAAGGGCTGTACCTCATCACTTGGCCCCCGGTGACAACTTGTTCTCTCCTATGGCTGTAATATCTTCAGGTATTAACAGATTTTCTGATACATGGCGGTACTGGGATGTTAGTCACACTACTCTATCCTGACTGTCTGTAGATAAAACAAAATAATGGGTGGGAATCACACTCATACTCTTGGTAGTGGACTTTAGAACCCTTTCTCTGAAATTAGGCCTACACTGGCTCCTGAAACAAGAGTACTGGGGGAATACCTTCCCTCATTGAACAGATTGACTACAGAATGTATGTCAGCAACCCACAGGCCCATACACACCCCCCCACACAACACACCCCCCCACACACACTATTCTTCTGGAATTTATTGGGGCTGTCTTCTCTCCATCCAGGTTCAGTAGACTGCCTTCATCTGCCATGCCTGACTTTTCTATCCATATCTCCCCTTAACCTTAATCCTCATCCTCGGGCCTTACTTTCTAGGTCATTGCTTCTAAGCTTCTTTCTCTACATTATTTTAACTGTTACCTCTGATGAGGTTTCTGAGGTTAATTGAGTGGGTGTTAGTTGAGTAGGTGTTATCATATACTAAGGATTTTTTTATTCGTTTTTCCATTGGCCATGCTAAATTACACCTTGCATTTATCCAGTGTTGGTGGGTGCTATTACGTGTCAGGCATTGTGTTAGGTGCTAATTCTGTTCACCAAGAAAAAGATGAAGAACAACTGAAATTTGCTTAATCTCTCTGAGTTCAGTTTCCTCATCCATAGCACAAGAATAAAAAGGTTGTATTAATTTCTAAGATTGGTGACAGGACAGCTGTAAAGCTCTTTGCCCAGTGAGTAAAAGCTCATTAGTGAAAGGCAAGTTGATATCATCATTTAATCCTATATCAGTTAGCACCATAATGAGGTATCCTAGAGTAGAGCAGGTCTGCTTTCTGGCCTGACTCTCCACAATCGTCAGATCTCTGAACACAAATGACAGTGAAAACTTCAAAAAGGTGTGGGAAAAAATGGTACCAAGTGAACAGATTTATTTCCAAAGTAGAAACTGACTAAAAATGAAAAATGCTACTGTAATATGATGATACAAGGAATATACAAAGCAAAGAGTTTGAAGTTAGATGAAGAATGCCATTTTTTAACATAAAGAAGGTACTTCATTCTGATCATGCTTAAAGACTAATTATTTAGCAAAATAGGTGATTGTTTCTAACACATTTATAGGAGTATTTCTTTGTTGCTTTGTATGTCCCTCCCCCATGGTATAACCCCTGCTTTCACTGTATTTGATATCGGTATAATTTGTGGAGGGGAAGGGGAAAAACAAATTGTTTAAATAGGGATACAGGTGGACCCATTGCAATGATGAGATGTACAAGTCGTTATGTCAAAAACCAAGTTTACAACTTTGGTGGGGGGGAAGGATTGGGGGGGCAGGGGAAGGATGGGAAGGGATGGGAAGAGGAAACAAAGGAGGAGGCTACAATGCTTGATAAGAAATGTACTCAGTTATAAAGTTCATTTTCGACATAACAACTTGCACATCTCAATGTTGCAATGGGTCCACCTGTATCCTTATTACAACTTTGGTGGGGGGGGTGCGGAGGCAGGGGTAGGGGAGGGAGGGAGGATTGGGGGGCAGGGGAGGATGGGAAGGGATGGGAAGGGGAAACAAAGGAGGAGGCTACAATGCTTGATAAGAAATGTACTCATTATCTTGCCCATGTAATTATAACCCCTCTGTACAGTATTTTCACAATAAAAAAAATAAAAAATTGCATTTTTGTTTCTTTACTACTTCCATTAACCCAAAAGCTTCAATTTCCTATGATTTGGTTGATCTAGTCCTAAATCGTTCATTTTTTTTAGTAAAGTTACTAATACTATGATATAAATGTTTATCAAATTATTTTCATAAATTTTATCTTACAGGGCTGGGTATAATAATAGATTGTACACACATGCCATCCCAGATACTTGGGAAGCATTGTTCTAGTGGATCACAGTTTAAGGTCAGTCCAGAGAAAAGTTAACAAGATCTCATCTCAACAAATAAGTTGAGCATGGCTGTATACCTGGCTATGCAGGAGCCATAAGTAGGAGAATAGTAGTCCAAGTCCTCTGCGCAAGAACACTGAGACTCTGAAAAATAAGTAAAACAAAAAATGGCCCAAATGGTAAAGCACCTGCCTCATCTCCTGAGCCCTGAACATGAGTTCAGATGTCGGTATAGGAAAAAAAAAAGATGGGGGGAATAATAGATATAATATATATGCTTATATAAAATATATTATATATACTTATATATAATATATTATGTATGTATACATACAAACTTACATATTATATTGTGTGTGTGTGTGTGTGTGTGTGTGTGTGTGTGTGTGTGTGTAAAAGAAGTTGGAATTACAAAAAAAGCAGCAGTGATGGGAAAGGGTTAAAAGATTCTGAATTTTCTCACTGCCAACCTTTAAATCTTACTCTTCCAATGTTTCTCATTGGCCAAATCCAGGTGAGAACCAGATGGCCCAGGAGACAAAAGAAATGAAGGCCTGCCTGGAATAGAGATTGAGGTCCTTCCACTACAATTCAGATCTTGTAAGGGAACTTGAACGATGAATTTGAATAAATGACCAACCTGAATCCAGTGCTGAAAGTTTTGGTGCCCAGTCCTTTTCTTGTCCTTTTTACTATTATAACTTTAGGGAAAACAACAACAACAAATATACCTGTGAATTAAAAAAAATATTTAAAAATACCAACAACTTTATCTTTTATTAATTGCATTTTTCAATAATGGATCTTAATTATCCAGAGAGCAAATATTCAGAGTAGTTTATATTTTTTAAAAGAAAGCTTAACACAAGTTAAGCTTTAAGAATTAGAAGCTCTCCAAAACTTCACTTTTATATATTTCTTTATTTCAAGTAAAATTTTTACTTTATAAACAAGATGCAGGTCAGAGGGCACTTAAAAATTTGAATGAGGCTCTGAGTTAGATCCCCAATGCCCAACACAAAAGAGAAAGTCAGAGCAAAAATATTCAAAGTTTGGAGGATACTTGCTAGAACTACAGGAAAGAAATACTTCAAACAAGGTGATAATTTTGAATATTCACCAGCTAAGGATGTGATAAATAACAGAAGCTAATAAATTATTACTAAATACGATATTCCTTATATGGAAATCCTACAGTCTTGTTTGGTACCTCATAAAGGATAGATTTAAGCGAACAAACTTTCGTCTTCAAATTTAAGATCAATTTAAGCTTTTCCTGGTATCTAAATCAAACCAATAGCAACTGGAAATGTGTTGCTTATGTCTAGGGCTTCTTTGATTCTTCATTTCACATGGTATTCAGAAGTTAGGTTGAAGTCAGAAACCAGGGCTACAGCCATCAGTGATGAGCCTCTCAGAAGATGAAACAACATTTCACACACTCGTGGATCAGTGGCATTGCAGCTTGGGTTCTCTTCCTCTTGATCTCAGACAGAACACATACAAATTATGCCCACAGCTTGCTGTCAAAGTGACAGGAGGCTGCTAAGCATAACTAGACAGTGCCACTTTCCATTGTTTTGGAAATACAGGTCTTATTTTATTCTCCTCCAGGTGAACACTCAAGTAGAATTTGTTTTTACAAGCCACCAAACACTGCTTAAAGGGCACATAATGTGAATGTGAAATTTGTGTTTTGCTTTTAGTATCTCTCATGGAGTTAAGATAAAGCTTGAAATATACAGAAATAATTTAACATGAAACATGGATCCAAACATGCTCTGTGGCCTAATAAGGTAAAAAAAAAAATCTCCATCTTGAAATGTTTAAACAAGTTCTTGAAATGAGAAAAAAAAATCTGTCTATTAAGTAATTAAATTGTGGAGGTGGAAGCCTTATGGACCTAAACTTTCTGGTGTGGCTACAGACAGCCAACCTCTATAAACCAGAAGATCCAAGTCTCACTCTTGTCTCTTCATTTGCTTATGTGTTTAGCGTACAATGATCAAATAGTCAGGTATGAGAGACTCAAGTATA